TAGCATCTATGTCCGATTGTCCTATAATAATGATTACAATGAAAATATTATTCTATCGTTGGGTTTAACACGACTATTTAGTATTTACTTTTTATTGATATTTTTAGTCATACCAGCTATACCAGTATAATGAAATCAAAACAAAAAGCTCCAAGTTTACGAGCACGCAGTGCTGGAATCGCTCGGCGACATACCAAGTAAGACTCGGTGGGCCGTTTAAGTCATCCGACTGCTGACTGAAAATGTGTTAAAGAGTTCAAAATTAAATAAGAAATAGCTAGAGTCTACGTGTAGAGACCWCAGTATATGGTTATAGGTGTTATTGATATTTAGTTTGTAATTGGGCCGATAAAGCACAAAAAACTGGGTGGGCTGAATTTGTCCTGCGAGCACGAAGATAAGAGATGTTCAAAAAGGACAAATCGCATGCACTGAGGTTATAGTAATACAATATAATATTAAAGGGCAGTCATTGTCAACCTTTTTGGGTCCACGGCTCCTTTAGAGTTTGAATTAAAATATAGGTCTCCCATACGAACATTTAAAATAAATAAATGTACATTATTCAATCATTTTAATCTAACTTTATTCAATTGTTTTAATTATTAATAATAGGAATTTTTTTTGTTGAAATTTATGTTTTTACAATTTAAATTTAAATTAGTTTTAATTTCGAACGCATCTCTCTTGATCATAATCAACGACGCCCCAGGGAGCCGTGACGCACAGGTTGAAAACCACTGTTATAAGGATTTGGARTRGGAATAGCAAACGTGGACTGCAGATTCTGTACTAGCACTTATAGCTGCAGTATTATGCCATTATTGAATTAACCACCACTCGATGCTGTAGAATAATACTTATGTCTTACACATAGGTTGTCAACAACTTTCAATTGCGTTTAGTACACAGTGAATATAACCAATAACTATTGTTACAATACTGACGTTGCTCTATTGTCTCGTGGTTTTAGTAGGTGTCTCGAAACTGTCATCCATGTAAGATTATTATTTAGGTATAGMCGTATAGGTAACAATTATCGAACATTGGTTAATTGCTAGGTAAATGTTGACTGTACGTCTAACTTAGAAGATCTCTAAAAATATGATTCGTTAGTTTAACAATATAGAGCACTTTAGGTGCACTTCGTTATGTAATCACGGTCAGAGAAACATAATAACTATATTAAGGATTTAACTAAATACTTAAAAACAATAATTTCAAAGAACCTATATATTTGCTAATACTCAAAAGCTGTTAATTATATCCCCAGTATATTTCATAAAGTCGCYGGAAAAACACGGGAAAAGAAAAACGGGAATCTTTATGCAAAACCAGCGACTCCAATATTTGACTAATCATTTTAGTTTTTTTTCGTGTGGTACACAATTACCATAGATACTTGAAACGTTCGCCGTATATTTGTATTATCATTTTTTACATATGATACATTTTCATACTATTTTTTATTTAAAAATGTATAACAGTTTCAATTTATATGACTAAGAATTAAAAATTTGATAAAAAAAAATTAGCTCATATTATATGCTGTAACCAAAAAATTATATTAAAAATAAAATTTTTATAAGCATTTTATGTTAGAATTTGATATTTAAACGATGCATAAAGATTTTAGATATTTTGCTCTAATTTAAAAATATCATTCGTGGAAACTTTAAACTCATATTATTATTATTCATATTTATATACCTACCCAATGACATTTTCAAGTGCAATATTTCTGTTGTGCAATATTATTTATCGAGGGGGGGGGGCTGAAGCCCCCTCAGCCAACCCCATAAATCGCCCCTGCATCAAAGTGATTAATAATTATCACATTCTCCCTTTTTCAATTTCGTGAACTGCCTGTGAATCTCTTTCTCGTATCTACATGTATATCATAATAGTACATGAACGTGAATTAAATTCATAATTATACAAAATTAAAGTTTTTAAAATATTTATATTACTTACCTATACCATTTTAAATATAAGTACGTTGTGCTAGTAGCGCTTATTTACATGTTTTAATTTGTTTTARAATGTGAACTTGAATATGTTCCTTAATTTCGTTTTTAATTAAAAAAGTGAATGTGAACGACTTTGTTTTTTGAACGTAAACGAATTAGATTTCCAAGTGTATACCTCTGAAAACTACATAATAATAGGTAATACTCAAATAKATATTATTGATATTATTGATATTAATTATTATAAACGTGAAAAAAACTATGAATATTGTTGCAAATGTATTCAGTGGCGCCGAACTTTTTTTAAACCACTGAGGTAAATCCTGTTAGAGAGTACCATATACCCATGCACATGCACCAACCCAAAACGGATAAAGGGGAGCACTTCTTTCAAAAAAGACTATAGTTTAAGTTAACCTACACGTGCTGCACCGCGAGTGCACCGATAGCTACACTCAATTAATGATTACGCTGATCACGGACCACAGGCCTGCAACGRTTATAATTTCAATGCAGTTGTTAATCTATTTTTTTTATCGATATTATCAAATAGCAATGTACATACGCGTCTTACAACCGTTCTTACAAAATTGTAATACCTAATAATATATTACGAATAATATTTACGTTGAATGTGCACATACTATATTCTATATAATTGCATACTTGCTCTTCTGCAATTTTCGAGATGCCCTTCAGAGGTTAAAGTGGGAAAAAATTCCAGAGGGGACTAATGTTTCCAAAAAGTTTTAAGCGTTCCATATATAATTTTATGTATAATGTCTAATGTATAAAATCCTAAATTGTTAAAGGGGACGCTTTTTAACCGCCGTCAGAGGTAAGGGGGCTGAGTCCTCCTGCACCCCCCCCCCACTTTAACCCCTGAATATAGAAGGCAATACATTTCCATCTCATATATTATAATAATATGCTTTATGTCTCACAGATTTGTTATTGAAATAATTTAGCAGACGCATTTCTAACACAAATAATAATATTTTGGTGGTATTATAAATTTGTAATGATAAAAGTGATAATTTATTGATAACTTTTCTCTGCTGCTATATGTGGATTTAAAAATGTCGAGTTCTTTAATATAAACAATCTTCAATAATTCTCTTCAGAATTTCCTACTAACCTACCTACTCATTTCCATTTGTATTTAAAAAAAGATCAGTTATTAAAATGTAGTACTTAATGATTTATAATTGTTTTTAAATCTGAAACTGTTTATTTTGTGAGCAACTCTGATGTTGCTTGGTTATTGGTAAATATTTTTGGGTTTTTGCATCCCACTCATAATTCTTAAATGACACCTCTAAATCGTATTTAAACGTAAAGATTAACGACTCATTTCTGACAGAATAATTTATACATATTTACATTAATTATACAAATTACAATTATTAATTTATTTTTGTTTTGAATCTGATAACATAAAAATATTTGCAAGGGATTTATGTAGTTTTTTTTGTTTATAGTTGTGACAATTATTTTCAAGTCAGGTTTTGGGTATGGACATTGGCCGTATAGACTTATGGTTAAAATCATTCTAGGTATCCGTTATCCGTATCCGACAATTGCTATCAAATATGTACCTTATATATGGAATTAGGCTGACCATRTATGGAGGTCAAATAGCCTAATGAAATCGGTATTAAAATGGAAACCCCTTGGGAAAAGACCACTAGGCAGACCAAAACMAAGATAGATAGATAAGGTAAAAAAGACTTTGGAAGAATTTGGAATACAAGATATGGAAGCAGTAGCTGAAGATAGAGACAGGCAAATTTGTGTTGCGGTAACTGGCCTCAATAGCCTTTAAAAACCGGAGAGAGAGAGATACATGAAATTATATTTAAACACGAACAAGTTTCAAAGTACAGTATGATCATTTGTATTTAAATAAAAAAGACGAATTCTCCCACATGTTTGTATGCTGTAGAGCTGTACTGAAAAATGCAGGTATATTATAGAAAATTATAGAAAAATATGCCCTGATATAGTAATGTTATTTTGTCGTATCTCGTATAATATACCTAAAAAAACTTAAGACATYTTATAATATGTTGCACACTTGYACACCCAATCTGTTGAGTATAATAAAAAATTTAAGAATTTCAATTGTGATTAACAGAGGGAAGAATAATAAATAATAATAAGTATTCTATRATTATTGTTTATTTCGCATTAATTCACTGCAAATATTTATGATATAAAGATTGAATTTTTATCTTAAAACCAATTTAGCTAAAAAACAAGGAAGAAACCATAAAACTAAAAATGCAGGTAATCATCRTAACAGTATATATTTAARTTTAACTCAAATCTGCCAAAATACTTAATTAATAAAACCTACTATGCGTTATAGATTATATTATTATTAAATTATTGAGTCTATAGGGATGTAACCTTAGAAGAAGAGACAATAATAGAGAGTAAAATTGTAATAATATAATATTATTTATTACTATAATAATAATTAACTCATAAGACAAAATAATTAAACTATTATAATAAAAATTTGTTTTTATAATTAAAATATCATAAGTAATCGAAATAGTTTAAATCAGATGCGTATATAACTCATGTACTTGACAATTATCAAGAAGTAGTATACCTATGTACTGTACCTACTTGTAATTTATTATTATTAATAATATAAAATTGGTGTAGGTACCTACCTACAGATTTGATAAAAACATGATCAGAATGAATGACCAGTTCATGATACGAGCACGAGTGTATAGTTGCGTGCAAACGATCAAACTAATAAGGTACAAGAACTCGATCAATTAGAAACTCAATCTAAACCTACTCATTGATTCATTTGAAGAATATAATATATTTGTTCAACTCACATAATTTAAATTTAAAGGTAAATAAATTTTTTTTTTTAATTTGTGATTTGTGAYATTAATTTAAAACTATGTTTATCAAATTAATAAGGTTTGTRATAATTATGCTGTTAAGATTTTTTATTACCTATATTAATTGTTAATAATTTACAATTTCAATGTATATTAAAAAAATACTCATTAATTATCCATTTGTCTATGTATTCATCAGGTATTTGTTATTTATAGCCTACAACAATAAACCTAAACGCTGTTAATGCATATATTGAACTACATTTTATTCAGCTATAGCATATACTGCTTAGGCATCTAAAATTATACCTAAATACACTATTCATAGGTAATGCAGTACATGTGTTCTATTATTCTATAGTTAGAAAATAATTTTAAAAATAGTAAAAATATAGTTACCACTTACCCATTATTACCATTCTCGCTGATTTTCATTAATATGATTATAATATTTATTGTGGTTAATGTGATGAGTACATATTATAGGTTGTACGTTGGTTTTTGGATTAAGAAAATTAGGGGTATCTACGTAATAATTCTAATTTCATATTTTGAATCTATACTGTTTTAACCCTTGCATGTGTGTTTTTAATTTAAATATTAGAGTAAATTAACTTACTGTGTAATTTAAAGGCAAGAACATTATCTGTATGATCAAATTTCACCTATTCTTCGACTTATGCAAGGATAGTAACGCTAGTAATGAGTTACAAATTTAAAATGTTCTGCATATCTATAGCTCATAAATTAAAATTTCAGAAAATCCGWCAAATAATATTCTTGCCTTTAAATTTTATAATAGATCAATTCATTCGTATATTAAAACTATAACAACACCCAA